GCTCAGCATTGATCTGATAGCTGCTCTAGCTGGCTGTGGCTTACTTAGCTGGAGGAGAACTTGTCATTATCAGAGGAGCTGGCACACAGTGCCCCACTGTGCGGTGGGGTTGTTTTTAATCTCCACTGGTCCTGCCCTTCAGAGGCATCCCTCTCCCTGCTCTATGACCGACTGCTGTAATTACTCTCGCACATTATCTGATGGGAACTGTGCACCTGCTGCGCAGAAAACAGTTTTAGGGGGAAAAAGTGAAACGTGAACATGTTCACTCCCAGATTTAGTCATACCCACAGTCATACATCCTAATAAACTAGCAATGATAATTAAACAATAATGACGCTTTTCATTATGATTAAGGTGGAGAGAAAAAAAGAAAGTTCGACTTTAAAGTTTTCTCTTTACTTTTTCTTTGTAGACATAACAACCCACGTAAGTAGAGTCATGTTGTTAATGGAAAAACAGTTTAATATTTGCTTATATCAAATTTCCATACATGCATTGTAGGGTGTAACTTACTGTGAAACACCCCACTGTGAATTGTTCTGTTTTTCTGGGAATAGTAATTTGCTTTATCAGCCCTTAGCAGTTCACCGCTGCACTCATCTCTCTGTGCTCAGCATAGTGCTCTATTAATCATTTTTCAAACTGAATGCTGTTCCACACGTCTCACTCATTCACTTTCTGTGCCTTGTCCCTGTTGCCCCTCCGATTTCCCACCACCTACAGTGCAGCCTCAGGCCTCTAATAATGTTATTAAGCTTCCTCATAGCCTTTAGCCACCACCTCTGCCCTGCTGTGTTCTCACTCTTTCTTTCTATCAACCAAAGAGATGGGAACAGCAGTATCTCTTCCCAACCACAAAGCAACAGCAGTACCAAGACCAGGCTGCTTTTACACCCTGTTCTGAACGAATCCATTGTGACAAAAAAAAGAACATATTACACATATAGTTTATTGACAACAATCAGGTTTACCGTTGGCTATAGAAAAAACACTATTCTACAGTACAGTTGTATAAATCCATCTAACAGTAATTACTGCACAAACTTTTTCTTATAGCTCTCAAAAGAGGAAATTAGCAGCACAGAAGGTATCAATGCGATCTCTAGCAATGTTGTAATTACAATAATGTTAATAAAATAATCCCACTTCAAGGTCTATTCTTGGTTCTCTAGATTTGTGTGACACATATATAAGTAAATGAGAAATTACGAATTCTGAATGAAACCATAAGATAATTTAGGTCTTTTGGAGAGAAAGCATTACAAATCATCACTTCAAACTGTTGGCAGCTAGAACATTATGTGAAAATGTGTGTGGCACCAAATATAAAAGGTGGTATTTTAGTCCCTTCACTGGAGATAAATTACATGGTAAAGTAAGCAGACATGACAATCATCACCCATGAGGGATTGGGTTCAAAAAGAGGCTTGATTCTCTGTGAGGGCTGGATGGTTGTATAGAAAAAAGAGGTCAAGCACTGTATTTTTACTGGGGCATTCCAAAGGAAGCAGGGCTGATTGGGCTGTAAGTAGACTAAAAGACAAAAATAGTTCTTTAATGTCCTCTCTCAGTCTTACCGATTTCTATTATGTCTTACTTTATTTTACTCACTGTACTTGACTTTTATTCATTTTTAACATATATGACTTCTCGCAATCTCTCTGCCACACAGTTTTAACTTGTTCAACCTGTTTCTCCTTCCCCAGTAAAATACAGTCTGGCAACAAGCTGGTGCTGGCCATCAATACTGAAGCCTGCCAGGGTAAGGACAACTTTGTCCGCTACCTGGAGCACGTTCAGGCCGTGGTCACTGTCAACGCCAGCCGCCGTGGCGACCTCAACATCAACATGACCTCACCCATGGGCACAAAGTCCATTCTACTGAGCCGAAGGCCCCGTGACGACGACTCCAAGGTGGGCTTCGACAAATGGCCCTTCATGACTACCCACACCTGGGGCGAGGACCCCCGCGGAACCTGGGTCCTGGAGGTGGGCTTTCAGGGTGAGGAGCCACAGCGCGGAGTCCTGAAAGAGTGGACTCTCATGCTGCACGGAACACAAAGTGCCCCTTATATAGACCAGATAGTGCGTGATTATCAGTCCAAACTTGCGATGTCCAAAAAGGAGGAGCTGGAGGAGGAGCTGGATGAGGCTGTAGAGAGAAGCCTGAAGAGCCTGCTGAGTAAAAACAACTAAAATCCCATCTGCATGTTGCCAACTCCTCACTTTCTCTTATCTTTCTCCCTCTCTGCAATCTTGCTCTATTCTTCTCTAAATCCCACTGCATATCCTTAGTTCTTCTCACTCTCTTGTTATCCTCCCTTTTGTCTACCTCTCTTCCCCTCGTCACCTTGCTTTTTGTTATCAAGTGTTTCAATTAGCCTCCAACCTTCAATGAATGTTTCTTGTAATCCAATCATGATAAAAGTGTAACCTTTAAAAATCTGTTCTATATAGAGAAATAAAACTATATCACCTGAATTTTTACACAGAATTGTACATAAACCAAATATAATCCACTCTTTCATGCTCTTGCTTTAACTGCCCTGCACCTATCTTCTGCCAACTGTTGTACAGTTTGTGACTGTAAATGATTTTCTGTGTCATTCTACTTAAAGTTTAATATCTTGCAAACAGAGCAGTGATACTTCTTTCTGTTTATATTTTTATGTGATATGCACTGTTTATATAAACAAAGAAAGAAATATGTGATTCATTTTGCAGCCTGTGGTCCTCAGTTCATATTTCATAATCTTTGACGTATACTATAATAAATCTATTCAGCTGTTTATAAAAGCACTTGAGTGATTTGCAACACACTACTGAACATACTGAGTAAAAGTAGGATGCCATTCTCTGTCATTTAACTGCCCAGAAGACAGAGAATGTGGGGTAAGATTTTTTCAATCTAAAAAATATATTTCGAAAAGTGGAGCACAAGCAGCATCCTGGTGGCCCAGAAATCTACCATAACGTACCCAGTTTCAATCTTTCTCCGTGTTTCATTCTGTACTGTGCTGCTCAATAAAGAGAAAATGCCCCCTAAAAAGTGCAGTCTAAGCTACTTATGCCAAGGTACGCTTCACTTTATAGATACGTGTTTTTCTTTAAGGTGCTACATGTAGCATCAATTAATCCCTGTCAACCGTTTTCATTCATATATTGACTATAAAACATGTAGAGAAGACTCATTACGTTTAGGAATGTCTGCTGCCTGGCTGTTTCTATGTGAAACAAAAGGCCACATGTTTTATGAGAAATTATACACTTTAGGAACTCTTGCAATATCAAAGGCACAGGACACTACTATTTATCTTGAGCATGATCACATTGGTTTAAAGCGGCTATAATCAATTCTAATTATTTAATTAACAATACATACATATAATGTGAATTCATAATAACCCACATAGAATTATCACCCAATTTTGCAGCTCCCTTCAGCTCTTTGGAATATTTTAGTGTCTTCTAGTTTGGTTTGGTGTTACAGCCTGCATTATTACCGTTTTTAGTCACTCTCGCCATTCTCGCATTGTTTCTAGAGGCAACAGTCAGCTGTTTTCAGTTAAAAAGCTCCAAGAACCCTCTAAGTCCCTAAGCAGCATCGAACAACAGCAGCGACTACTTTAGCAAAGTGTAGCATTTAAACAGATGTTTCTTAGCCAGCAGATATAAATAGAAGAATATTGGACTTACATTCATCATCCAAATGAATGCTAATGTTGCATTGTGCTGCTGGATGTGGAAATAAGCGACAGTTTGCCAACTCCAAAGGTCATAATGTATCATTTAATTGTTTTTACAGGTTATTTCTGCTGCCTCCATGTGGCCAAAAAATCAGTTCATGTAGCTTTAAGGAAAAGAAAAACAGGAAGAGCTAAACAAAAATCGATTTGTTGTCTGCAACATGGTTTATTGGAAATATAATAATACATTTACATCTAGCAATAACACTGCCATAGGGGACTACCAATTATCTCAACCATTGTCTCATTTTGTCTTAATATACCAAAGCTATCAAAATAAATAGTAATACATTTCTTTTTTGGTGTAAAGTTTCACACACCTCCTGTTTTCTCCTTTTTATTCAATTTTCTTCTCTTTGGACTTCACATATATTTCATTGTAAAGGTTATGAGATTTAAAACATACATCAGCAAACAACTTTCAATGTAAAGGTATAGCAGAGTAATAATATCCTGAGCAGAGAATGAGGCCACACTTGCCTGTTTTGCAATCCCCTGAGGTGAGTCACTCAGTACAACTGAGGAGAGTTTTTTCTTATCTACGTCTGTGAATTTAACCAAACCAAAGTTGGTGATTGTTGGAACAGTGAAAAGATTGACAAAGATGGTATTGGTGAGTTTACTTGGTTTCTGTGTTACAATTATCTGCTACGTAAAATGACCGGTTTCATCAGTGGAGTGTGGTCAGCCGTTCTGCCTAATGTTTAGATTTGAGATGATGGTGCTCTAGTGTGACATCAAGTGGAAAGTTTTTAATTAGGTAAAATATTTCTTATTTTTCTCAAAAATACTCTCTGACATTCGTTGCTCATTCTGTATTTCATATGAGATCATCTTTGTGTTTTTATACCTCCGCTCCTTGTCCCCTTAATATTTTCCTATGTGATCTGAGAAAGATTGGATCATACTACAATTAATTAAGAGGATATTGTGAACAACACAAAGCCACATCGAAATTGAACACGTTTTTTGTGGGTGCTGCAGCACTAAGATTTCTTTAGTGAGGGTGTAAAGGGTACTATGACAACCATCTGTAAACTGTTAAAAAAAAAATAAAGGGGCATTTTTAAAAGCCAAGTAGTAATTATTATATTGTACTAAAATGCTGGTGTCCATACATATGCATAAGTGGTTTGATCTATTTAATATGCATCTGAGGTGCGTGGTACATAGAGCCTGGCAAAAAACAAATACAACAAGGTATCAAATGATGTTTGAATCTTTTTTATTATTCAATATATCAAAGCAAATTAATACACAGCAAAATTGTGCTGAGGGCAGGCATTGGAATCCAATTGAACAAATGAGCTCAAAGGGGAAAGTTGGCATTCTGAGACAGAGTTCAGAGGGTGGCACAATTTCTCTCTTTTTTTAAATTTTGTTTTTTATGTATTTTTATTGGTGGCATGGAACTTTGTTTTTCATTGTCTCAAGTTTTCAGACAGTAAAGGACTCATAGCATGAGCATGGGTGGGTGTTAAGTCGAACAACAACAGCAGTACTTATGGAACCAGCCAAACGTATTCTGGACGCAAGACCAGAGACTGCAAGCAAATGGAAGAGCATTGAATATCAGAGCAGGAATGTGTAGATGGTCTTTAAGCATGATTGGTCTCAGAGACAAAAACACTGGTCTTATTACAGTAGTTTGAGGAACAGTGGTATTTATGTAGTCTGATACCGACATCCGTATTGTCTTCTTGTTAGTGGACCTGAATCATGTATGACCCTGGTGGAGTTGACTGACTCTTCATGTCAGGTGATGTGTTTTCAATGTTTCTTCTTACTGGACTTCTCAATCATGGTCTCCACCACCATGGAAGTCTCCTCATAACCTTTAACCTTGCGGTCATTAGAAAACTTCTCCACTGACTCAACCACCTCCACCTTCTCGTAGCTCATGGCATCTGGGGTATAGCTGCCTGAGCTGGTGCTGGTACTTGTGCTGGTGTTGGTGTTGGTGCTGGTGCTAGAGCTGGAGCTGGAGCTGGAGCTGGTGCTTGCACCACGAGGTGCAGGCTTTGGAATGGGCCCATTGTCATCCCTGCTTTTCTTGGGATGACCTGGGGTGGGATCTTTGGGACCGGAGCTTGGGTCAGAGGGTGGAGGGGCTGGGCTTGGATCTTTAGGGAGGGGGTGAGGCTCTCCGTTCTTTTGCTTACCTTTACCTCCATTCCCGTCCTTACCTTTTCCACCCTTATTATCATCCTTTCCTCCTCCTCCATTAGAGGGCAGGGTGGGATTGAGAGGCCTGGGATCTACCATGGGCTGAGGAGGTGGAGGAGTGGGCGAGCTGCGTCCATAAGGATCATATGGAGGCATCATTCCATTTCTGATAGTGACGAAGATGTGACCACCTGATGGTGTGGATGTGTAGAAGCAGGGATCTGGGTAGCTGCCGTCACCAGTGACAAGGACATAGCGCCCCTTGGTGTAGAAGTCAGCAATTGGCTCAGGCTTCTTGTACTTCCTCATTCTGTCTCTGACAATGTTACACAGAGTGTCAAAGGCCTTGCTGATCTGAGCTCCATCTGGGACATCCTGTGGAGACACTCCAGTGAGAACAGGTCTATGCTGTTTTCTCTTCACTCTCTCCTCCTGCACTTCTTCAGGGATCCCCTTTGTTTCTTCATCTGGAGCCTCTCCAGCGGCTTCCCCATTTCTTTCCTCCTGTCCGCTGTCCATCACATCTTTCGGGGTCAGCTCTTTTTTCTTCAGGACCTTCTTGGCCAGGATTTTCTGGCGGGGCTTGATGCTGGTAATATCTTGCATAGCTTGGGTGATATCTGGAAACAAATGAGACCATGAGTCAACGAACTGGAATTAGTGAACTAACAATAGCAGATAATTGCATGTGCACTCCATAGTGATTCTTAATGTAAACCAGCTGTAATGTGCTCAGAATGTCCTTACCTCTCCCCCTGCTTGATGCAGTGGGTGTGTGAGTGTAGCGGTAATTAGTAGTGAACAGAGTAATGGGAGTGCCAATTATCGCTGAATTCAACCTGCAGTAAAGACAGCAGTGAAATGTCACTCATGCAGCAGTCACATACAGCATTGCTATGCAGAGAAATATGGTAAGGAAGTCAATAATTCACATTGTTCAAGTGAAGACAATAAAAGCCCCAAAAATAATCTTTTAAAAAAAGAAAAAAGAAAACAGCACAAATAACACAAATATAGCTAATCTGACATGAAAAAAAAATCTCACATCTCTCAAATCTGCTTCTTGTTGTGCTAGTGCAGTAGTGGAAAACCTGTGTTGTCACACAGTGCCACCTGCTGGCTGGTCCTGCACCTTACATTAGTCTGGTTACCACGTACCTCATATATCATTTGAGTAGTCATGTAAAAGCATTATGTACTGGTTTTACATTTATATTAAATTTACTGTTTCCAGGAATTATTTCAGCATTTAGTTAAGAACTACATTCCTATAAATGTATAGCTAACCTGACTGAGGTGAACAGTTAACCTCTCTAGTGCACTTGCATGTGTGTTTCTGTATGTCAGCAACCAGGTGCCTACCTGTTATCTTCGTTCTCTATGATCCTCTTGTACCTCTCCAGCTCATTCTCAAGAGATGTCTGGTACATGGCCAGGTGGCGACATTCACTGGTGAACTTCTCCAGGGACCTCTCAGCTTCCTCTATCTCCTTCCGCAGAGATTCAATTTGCTCATTGTACATCTGGATCTCATCGTCATAAGTCTCCTGTGTGCTTTTGATGGATTGCTCCAGTGCTATGGTCTGAATAAAGAGACAGAGGCAGGGATTAATTAAGAAATTATGATTTAAAAAAAACATACCAAGCCCCTTAAGGATATTTAACAGTGCAATGCATGTCATTAATAATAAAGAATAGTTTATAATGCGTTGATAATGAAAGCAACAAGTCAAATTAAAGGCACAGGGGTTAACTCTTCAGTATTTCATATAAAAATGTTGTAAATGAAAATAGTGTTTTCAGAAAAATAGTAACAGACAGTGATTTATTTATGTTAAAAAAATAAATAGTTACTAATACAGTTAAAACATATCACACTGTAAGCCTCTATCGGGTCCAAATACATGAGATATATATACAGTATATAGTGCATAACATAAGCAGAGTGAAGAGCATCATTTGTGCAGACAGCAGAGGTACGTCTTTATTCAAAACGGAAACAAAGCAGCCAAGTGAAGAAACACTCACTTTGGAAATCAATGCAGGTTCTAAATTCGACTGTGGAATATTTTTCCCAATACAGTTGAGCTGTCTTGTGTTTCTCATTTCCTGTCAGGAAACACTGTCTTCACTAAACCTACCCTGCTGTCAAAAGGTGGTCTTAGTCTAGTCATATTTCTGCAGTATCTAGCTATTAGCAGTTGGGAGGCTGCAGGGTGAAGGCCTATGTAATGCTTTGCTCAGTGAGTAGTTATTAATCATTGATTGATACATAATGAGAAATGAGAATATGAAAGAGTAAAATGAGTAAAAAGAGTCGAAGGAAAATATCCCTTGACATGTCATTCTAAAAACATAAAAAAACATGTAAACCTAAACTATTTATCATGTAAATATATGTGATTGAAATGTTTAAGATACTGATTAAATAACAAGTAAGTAAGTAAGTAAGTAACAATTTGTAAAAAAAAAAAAGTAATTATATTTAGTTCTTTTTTTATGTTTCACAAACATTAAATTTTCCTCACAATTTTAGAGCGGAAACAATTATTTGATAAGTCTATAAGTCGATCTACAGACAGTTAAGTGGCAATTTTAATAGTAATAATAGAAAATAGTGAGTTTTGGACTGCTGGTATGTCAAAACAAGCTATTTGAAGATGTCACCTTGAGCTCTGGGAAATGTGATTGTCCATATTCCCATAGAAATCATCGATTAATTATTGTTATAATAATTGTTAGTTGTAGCCTTACAAAATATACAACTACAGTTATGAGTTATGATATGTAGTTTGGACTGGTCTTAGTGGTATTTGTCTTTAAATGGAAATACATCTGGTTCCTTTGAGAAATCTTCTTGAATGTGTCTTTATGTAAGTACTGGCTTGGTGATAAAAAAAAAAAAAAAAACCTGCACATTATCAACGTAAAACCTTCTGTTGTCATGGTGAACATGTGACCCACCTCAGTCTGTAGGCGTTGTTTCTGGGCTTGCAGCTGACAGAGGGCGCTCTTATATTCCTCCAGCTGACTCTTCAGTCCGGGCACTTTTCTCTGGGCCAGCAGCTTCTCCTGTTCCTTTACACATCGAGCAAAAACAAATCAGTGAGAACATGCAGAGAACTGAAAACACACACACATATACACACTCACAGAGCCAGCAGTTAATTCTCTTTCTGAGGTCACACTGTATTAAAAGGTTCACTGATTCATTTTTTAAATTTAAGGGCATTATAATAATTGATCTTTTCTGTTCATCTGCCCTTTAAAATGAACCTATTGAGTGTTTGGAGTGCAGTGTCCACTTCCTAGACACTGAATTATTAATGAAAAGTGAATGGCTGTGGTAATCGATTTACTTGGTACACCTTGTAGAAGTTAGACTATCTATAATAAGTATGTATAGTTAATTTTAGTTCATAAAGTTTATAATCTTCAAACAGTCATTGGCAGTAGATGTCCCTGTATGAAGTGGCATTTGTAAGCTTTCTATTCACATTTCTATGTTTAAGATACATTATTACTGCTAATAAAAGTCTAAATTGTAATAATTTCACAAGCATACAGTAGGCCTGTTATTTTAGGTAATGAATTATTAAACTGAATATAAAGTTTGTGAAATGCAGTCAGTGTAGGCAACATGCTTCCTGGACATCAATAATGTAAGTACTTAGACTTGTCCTAGAGCCATTTGAAAGAGATGAAGCATACATTTGGGCTCAATAGAAGTAAAGTGACATTAAGATGACAACAAGTTACTAACTTGTCTAACTTGTCAACGGAAGACACATTAGCAAAGCTAACATGTACCCAAGATTGTCAGAACGGTTGCACTTTTGTTGTCCTTCAAAAGTTCTTTAATAGAAATTCCAGACTGTAGGTAGGGTCTGCTACATACTTAAGAATTAGTATTAGTAAGTATACTGTGTTTTGATTTTTTTTTTGAAACAGTAGCCTACAAAATGTTCTATTGAAAATTAACATTTAACCATTTTAATGAAAAAGTGTATCTGATATTTTGAAGTTGGTAGCAATATGTATTTTGTATGTATCCAGTAGGAGTAATGTATTCTGTAAAAGGTATAAACAAATTTAAGAAAGGTGTTTTGATGATGGTGGAGCACTGCCTAATGTGGCGGTCCAAAATTTCCCCTAGGTGTTGAAATGTGTTGTGTAACTGAAAAGGCCATAACATGATTTACACGATACTCATCAAACTTCTCTTGTGCCCTATATGGAAGCATATGCATTTGATATGTGTCTTCATTCGTTTCACCCATTTATATTTACTGTTTATTCCCAGCTGGCTTTTTTCTTATTTTCTCTTGATTTTTTGTTCAACACAGCAGCCAAGAGATGTGTGTCTTTGTCCACTGAGATTTAACTCAACCAATTAAACACTTTCTGCATCCAGGGCAGTTCTGCCTCTGAGAAATGTTTGCATAAATAATACTCCAATCTGCTACACAAATGCCAGTCACTGGGGTCACACTTCCTCGAAAATTTGCATGCACAGCCATTCTTCCTGGCATTTGTTTCATTATATGACTGACACTCAAAACTCAAACTGCTGGCCTGTCCATGTCTCCTGTGGACTGTTTGACTGTCTGTGCTTTTTGCACATGCATACACACACGTATACACACTAAACACAGACAAATGTGGTCACAGGCAACCAATTGGACTGAGAAGCCAGTAACCTCATCAACCCCAGACACGTAGCCAGGGCTGACACACATGCAAACACCCACATCTCCCCCAGGGACTACAGCACACACACGCACACACACAGTGACAACATTAGTGACCTCACCTCGGAGATGCCCACTGACACATTGGGAGCAAGAGGAAGTGTCTGGTTGATTTGCTGCAAAATGTTTACATAGGTCTGGATCTCTGCAAGGTTCTGTGTAGAGGAGGATAATACAAAAGGAAAACATGAAATATACAACTCAGCAAAAGGAGGAAGCTTTAACATTTTGCAAGCTTGAACCATTATATCTGGCCTGCTCACAAACCTTTTGCTTGTTTGCTTTGCATTTTCTATTGAAGAGGGGGTGAGAGAATAAAAGTATTCAATGGAAGGCGTTCATTGAGTTGAAATAAATGTATAAATGGTGCTGGCAGCAAAGAGATTTCTTTTAAAGACCATGTGTATAAGTGTGATCTCAGACTCAGTAATAAAGAGGAGATATATTTTCTGTCGCCGTAGGATTATTTCAAAGCTCAAGACCACTGAGTCCAATATTCATGTGAGACGACTCCCTATTCTTTCCCATATAATATAGTAACAGCAGTGCCCTTTGATATGCTATCTCAATATTGCAGAGTCACGGCTTAATTCATCATCAAAAGCAGCATTGGGCAAAAATAAAAAAAAAGAAGGCATGAAAGTCTATGAAAAGAGTACCCTTAATGCATTATGTAAGTGTAGTTTTCTTTTGTCTCAGCATTTTTGTGGCAATCCTGTTGCACCTTCTAGCCATTTCTATCGCACAGAGGGTAATATTTCAGTTTTTTGTCTTTCCTCTGTGATTTCCTGTCATATGTCAGTGTCTGTGAAGAGAAGTGTTACATTTTCTCTGCAATCCTTTCCTCACTCACATCAGAGGAGGTAAATTGTTGCTAAAGCCCCAGGTACATCATAACACATCTTTTGGCACCCATGTCATGGTTTTGTGCCTTGTCATTCGAGGAGTATTGGCCTGAGGTCAGCCGAGTTAAAAAGCAACAGAAAATGAAACACACACACACAAATTGTGGTCTAAAATACTTTGAACTAATATTGTTTTTATGTGGATTAACTTTCTCCATTGACTGTGAGTTATCCAACAATTCCATATAAGATATTCTGGCCTGAGATCAAAGATACTGTCAAAAGAAACAATATGGGTACAATTTCAAAATGTGGTAACCTTTAAAGAGCGATATGTCTGAAACTGCTATGAACGATGATATGGAGTTATTAAAGCCATTTCTCAGTGGCTTTTCCTGTTCCAGTTTGTAGCCATCGATAAGGATTACGATATTGTGAGCATGAATGCAATTGCTCACTGTCACGCCGCACTGTAAGTGCGTGTTTATGTTAACCTTTCAAAGGTACATTTAATACTCTGTATGTTTGCAGTACAGACTACTGCCACATTATTATAGCATTTAAAGTCTGAGCTAATTTACTAATTTCTAATACTGTCTCCCAGAAATGGCTTTTATATACCATGTATGTGCAACTATGAGATAAATATGAATATGATATATGAGAGAACTGTACTGCCACTTAAATTACATTTCTTATCAACAAAACAATTTTACTGAACAAAACAGTGACTGACGACAACGTTTTCCTGCAATATCCACTCATAGCAACTGAAGCATACTTTCTTTAGGCACTTCAAGCATTTCATTGAGGTTAGGGAAAGACTCTGCTTTAAAATTCAAAAGTGACTGGAATCATGCGGCAGGTCATCTTTGCTTTCCTAAAATTCAACCAAACCTTAACCAATGTGCTTTTTGTCGCTTACATGCAAGAATCAGCATGTGAAGTCGGCGTGAAAATCTCCGAAAACAGAGAAATACAATATAGGTGACATAAAAGTAGATTAAATATTAAGGAAAGAGACCTGACAACTGTAAGTACATGCTTGATAACTCAGGAACTACCTGGATTTAAAATAATCCAGATGATCAATTTTGAGTTCAGGGGTTCAAGAGTTTTTCCATCCTTCCATCTTTATTACGTGATTAAGAGCCACGGTTTCATTCAGCATTAGCACCACTGACCTTTCTCTGTCTATCTCTGGTGGAGTTGATATCGTCCTGCAGGAACTGTGATTGGATCTGGTAGTCCAGGTTTCTCAGCAGAGCACTGTCGGCCTCCTGCAAGAGGAGAGGAGGGTAGAGGAGGAGAAAGAAGAGGAAAAAAAACAGGACCCAAGAGGCCCCAAGGGGAAAGAATCGTGAAATGTACAGTGTATTGAATTCAATTGAAGCCAAAGAAAACTTCAGAGACAAACTGTAGTCATACAGACAATCTAAAATGATTTAAGCTCTCTGTGGTAAGTATGGTAAGATATTTTATATGCAACAACCACAAAACCCTTTTTCACACTTAAAGTGCAAATTAAATTTCTTCTCTTGGATTAAAATAAAATAATCTCAATCGATTTACTCTTTACTTTTTTAAAACACTATAATTTGTAAATAGTTGTACGCTGTCTTGTTTTACATGCACAGGTTCTTCCATGTTTAAATGCAGATTTATTAAAAGGCTGTTGTTCATTTCCATTTGGATGATTGAGTAAACTAATTTAAATGTATTCATACAGTACCTTGTTTAACTGTTCCAGTGTGCCCCGCAGCTGTTCTTGATAGTCACATTCATTTCTATATCTGAAACATAAAACACCTCAATTATGTGTTAATAGAAAGCAGGAAGAGGTAGAATGTGACATTATCATATTAAACTACAGTATTCCATGGTGCAGGAATACATACCGTAAACAACCTGTGTGTTAACTTGAGTTTGTTTTGTGTGCTCACAGTGAGACAAGACAGATTGACAAACTCATCTCTTCTTGAAGCACAACATATCTGTTTGTAACGTGTCAAAGCTGTAAATAAAAACTACACATGGTCAACCACTCTCTTCACAAGCCGAATCAACCAGAGTTGGTCAGTGTTCTTCTTATCTTATCAGTAATGTAGCGAGGCTTAGTTGCCTACGGACAGCTGAATACACCTTCAGTGTATATCAGTGAAATTCAACGGTTGATTCACCTAACACTCTCTGCAGATAGATTTGGTTTCATTCCATATCAGCCTCAGAGATTCCCACATCAATACAGCTACAGTAACCTTTGTATAATTCAAAGTCCTCATTGTGAACAGTTTCCACTGGAACTACGTTATACCGAACAAATAGTCCCTATTGAACCTGTTGAGTGTTCTGTGGATTATCCAGAGTAACATGGAGACTCTCTCTGGAAAGAAATGTTGTGTCTTCAGTGTCTTAAAAAGCTGCTTGACATTCATGTGAGTATTACAACTAAAATTCCATTTACCTCCATTATATTTAGTGAAGGCATGGCTATTACAAGTAGTAAGTGCTTTGTTTTTTGTTTTTTTTCTTTGATTTGGTTGAACTGACCCTTTAATTTACCATTATTTGGTGTCTGGTAATGAAATCCAATGTTACAGTATTCAAAATACATTTATTGTTCAGCAGTTTGCATGGTTACCTGATTATAAGATGGTAAATTGATAAATTTGACTTTAAAAATTGCATCTATTCTGATCACTGATTATCTATCAATTTAGGGTTTCCAATATTTGCTGAGAAGTATCAATATAAAACAATATGTTCACATTTCTCCACTCCACCTCTGACAGAATAAATTTGACCTTTGACACACGGATAAGACCAACCACTGCCCACTCTCTTACTTGCTGGTGAATTCATCCAGCATGCGGCAAGCATCTCTCAGCTCTCGCTCCAGCTTGGCATGGTCGGAGGAAAGCTCACGGATGCGCTGCCTGTTGACATCAATCTGCTCTGTGAAGGCCTCCTCGAGACCGCTGGCCTCTTCCATCCGCTGCAGCGTCTCCAGCTGCTTGCGGAACACGGCGTTGCGTTGCTCCAGGACCCGTGCCCTGTTGATGTACCGGGCAAAGCGGCTGTTGAGCTCCTGAAGGCTCTCCCAGCCCTGGATGGCCGAGATGCCTGCAGAGGATTCAGAGTCCTCAAGTTCCTCATCAAAGACATCTGAGCGCTCATACTTTTCCTTGCGCACCTCACGCGTGTAGCTGGTCTTGAACATGGTGGTAGGCTTCTCTCCCGTGGGTTGGTGGTATCCCCGGAGTGCTTGGTCCCCTTCCGCACCTTTATTGTGTGAAAACTCTGGTGCTCACCCTTGGCTGTCTCATGCTCGACTAAACGCTGCACAGCACTGGCTGATGGCGAAATAGCCCCCAAAATCTCTCCCTGGCTGTGGCCACGCATGCTACGAGCCTGGGGCCTTCCAGAGTGCATTGTTGCCTTTGTGGGAGAGATTAGAAAAGCCATGCTGATGATGACAAAGCAGAACCACGAAAACAAACAATTGGCCAGCCCGCGAAAGCACTGGGTTGTTACACACCATTATTTTGGTTCTTAGTCAGCTGCTTTCTAGATCCCTGTTTGATATGGCAGATTGGATAGTGGCCCAGAACAGGACAGAGGGGAAATTTCGTGCAGTGCAATTTGTGTGGACTGTGGAAAACTATTCCTGCCAGAAGTGACTAAGTGTTGACACACTGTACACTGCCCTTGTTTACAAGTAGGTACTAATTGTGTTTTGCTTCACAATCTCAAAAGCATTACACAAAAAACCCTAAATTACAGAAACATATTTGGTGATAAGCAGCAGGCAGGCCCAGTTGGGACACTGTGATACATGATCATTCAATACAATGAATGTTTAATGGTTAATTGTCATAGTATATTAGTTCTGTTTGTAACCAAAACAAAATGAAAAATAACACCAAAAAGAGTCCCCAAAAAAGGTCAAACTGAACTGAACAACTAAAGGTACAGTCCTGAATAACATATCTAATAAAAGTTTAAACCTTTATTTCTACATATGCTGTTGTTTGCCTTAATGGAAACAATCAAAGAGAAGAGCCCATATTCAAATGTTAAGTATGTGGCAATCTTTTCTTGTTCTGCTGGGAATATTGCTTTGCTCTGAATCTGAAGCATCTGAGCACTTTCTTTAATAATAGAAAGCCTCTAGTTGTCTACCTCAGGTGCTTTTACCCGACACCTATCTATATATCTTTATTTCCCTTTTATATTTCCATTCGTTCTCTCACAATTACAATAACACTTAGCAAAGATGAGAGACTGAAGACCGTCTGCAGGCTTCGGTACAAGGTCAGTCAAAATGTCCCTCTAGACACATCTAGCAAGTTGTCTGTAAAACAGCTGAATGAAACACGTGTCAAATGGCTGTTCATCAGCATTTCAGCATTTTTTTGGACCCAGCAAAGCCCATGGCCCAAAGGCAGACTGTGATAGTTGAACTGGACTACAAAAAATAAGCTACTATACAAAAACATGACATAATGGAGTTAAAATTATTCTATATAGCAAATTTTAAATTCAATTAAGCCATAGATGTATGCTATTCTTTCACGTTATTTGATCCCCAAAGGGCAATCTGGTTGATCCTTCCAGCAGCATATGTTTGTCTCAATGGTTAAGCTATCCAAGTTTAAGTACACAAGTACAGTACAACTGGCTCATTATATCAGTAATGGTAACTATATAACCATAAATAATGCAATTCTGTGTGTGTTATATCCACGAATATTCTACTTGAAAAGTCAAACTTATGATTCACAATGTCTTCCTATTGTTTAGCATTCAGTACTTACCATTTCCCACAGTGCCACGACCAGGAATGTTCCCTACAACTAATGAGTGGTCTCTCTATGGACACCCAACTCCACATGCGTGAATCTTCAGTTGTATGCAGGTATCTGCATCAGTCACTAATGCACTAGATGAATATTTTATAAATCAGTCTGTCCTCGTGTGTGTGTGTGTGTGTGTGGATCAACTCCTGAAGTCCATGTGACATTTCCACAACATGCACTGATTTTAAACAACAAGCACACTGAGACATTTTCCATCTATAGAATGTACTACTATAGACACTACATACACTGGGGCTGTGTGCAGCAGTGCATTGTTTTCCTTTTAAACAAACACCACTGAGATTTCATTGTTCAATTGGTTTCCACATTGTGAACTGTGGCACTACAGCCTGGAGGAAATGTGCAGTGACATTTAAGGGCTTTAACCTGTAGCCAGTTAGAAAGATAATGTAGACGTGGTTCACAGACTGTGTATTTTTTCTGTGATTGAGACAATTGGAAGGGCTCCCACAAGTAGATTAAGACACTCCTTTGTCATTAAGAACCAAGTTAATCCTGCTGGATAATCAGTAACTTGCTGCCGAACAGCATGTGTTTTCATAAAGAGACAGAATAATAAGCAAATGATAAAGAACAGAGAAAATGACTATGTGGTCGAATACTAGCAGTGTTTGGACACTCACAAAATCAGTCTGTCCCCAGCAGAACCAACAGCCAAAACAGACTGCCTCTGTTCACATTTAACCCCATATATATATATTTGTATGGATGTCACCAATAAACTACCTGACTATCTGTCCACCCTCACGCAGGGGCCATAGATTATAGGTCTTGTGCATATTCTCTTCATGCTCGAGGAGAGAATGCCAGGATCACACAGTCCTCCTTTCCCATCTATATTCATTGATTACGAGTGGCAGTAAATCCAAGGCCTGGGTGAGATTAGAGACCTGTCAAGAGTTGGAAATGAAAGCCTAGTGTTTATCCTGCTGGTCAGGCCTCCTGGGCTACAATGACAGACTCGAGCAAGTAGCTGCTAATATTTAGAGGGTAATAAAAACTAATACGGACATGCAAAGGCAGTTCTCTCTCTCTTGTGAGCTTGGGGTAGAACATGTTCAAGCACTAAAAAACATTAGTTTTCTCTCATCCTGTGTCCATACAGATGACAGAAAGAACTGTCTGATGCCTCACTTGCATCTCTAGTTATCCATTATTATATTTAAACTGCACTGACTGCTAGATCCCTGCACTCAGAGTGAGATGACACAAAAAGCCATCTCGCTGCTATTGACAGATGATTGTCAGAGGCGAGATAAGAAATAGCAGTGCTAGCTTCCCATCACAATAAGGAATTGATCCTAAAAAGTCATCAGTGTTGCTGTCTGTGGCAGTGTATCTGCTGTTCGGGATGGTTGACCACAGAGATTGGGTGCTGACAGGTTCCAACAGCTCAGTCCATATGTTGATCCCTGACCGAAAACAGGGAACAAAAGTTCAGATTTAATTCAGTCTCACTAATCACTGCATTATTGTATTGCATTGTCAAGGAAACTGAAGTGAACGAAAAGAACGAAAGTTAAAAATATTTAAAAAAAATTAAGAAATAAAGCATTTTTTCACAGCAGAAAATGAGTTTCTTATTTATGTTGTGCAGAGATATTCCTGAACATCTCTTACTTTCCCTAAAGTCACCAGTGTCAGTGGCTGGTGTGACTATCAAACATGTTTTGTTCTGTTTAAAAAAAAAATAATTGTGACCAACACAGTCAAATTTAATAGAATAAACACAGTTAATAGAATAAACACTACATGACATCCTGTTCGCAAGTGACTGTGATTCACTGCCATGCTGGAAATGGACTGACAAGCTTTAAAATAACTGTGTACATTTTAATATTTGAATTACATGATAGATATTCAAATTGAGACTCTTTTATCAAGGAAGAACCCCCTGCCCACAGGCAACGATATGAATGTAAATGTTCCTGCATATCTGCTGGAAGTTCTTTATCAACTTTAAAAGTAATAATAGGCCAGTGTTAATTAATAGCTTGCTCTGCTGCCCCCAGTGGCTGAAAAAGTCAGTTATTGCAGGTTTAAAGCTAGGGTAGGGACTATTACAGTACAAATAAATAAACGTCTGTTACATTCAAGCCCTTGCCAAACAGGTTTACACAGTGCTGATTACTATAAATTTAAATTAATTTATATTCATGTAATTTTATATTTGTTTAAAAAATTAACTTTTCTGGGTCAGTTTTCACTGACTCACTGCCAGAAGGCAGACAAACGTTATGCACTGCAAGTTTAATGCCAGAGTAATTCCTGCAATTTGTATGGAGCATACTATTTAAAGCCAGTTTGTCCAAGCTCTTATAACTACTGTATTTAGATATGATCAGACAGCACAGTTCCAGTACAGTGGTATTCAGTGAATAATGTATCACCTGTGATATAAGGTGCATTGTGATTCAAGGAGCTTTTAGGTGAAATACAGTGATGGAGGGACTGTTGAGAATGTCTTCTTATTTCTCTGCTTCCTTCTATGTTGTGAGAAATGGTAAATGTTAGCTCAACCTTTAATGCGAAGGACATCTTGTGTGTCCCCTGTGTAGCCTAAAGACATCCCTTCAGCTGGTGAACTTTTAACCGCTGCAACCCCTGCGACCACGCGCACGCGCACCAGCCTCTCCCGCGCCTGCTGAAAGGCGTGCTGTATGGTTTCCTCCAACGCGCGTCATCGTCGGATCTCTCACTTGATGCAGAAGAGAAACAGACGCAACTTTTCGCCTTTCAAAGAAGGCAGTCCGGAGGAGAGCGCAGCGCAGCGGAGTGGCAGCTGGCACAGTCAATGTTCAGGCAGGCTGATGGAGCGACCTTCTGTCTCCACTGGTGGGATTGTCCAATGATACAGCACTTCAGCTCGGTTTCACACCTGACACAGAGCGTGCAATTACATTGCTTTTTATTATTTAGCTGAGAAAAGCCTGTGAGAGAACCTTCTGCTGCGTTTGCTGGTAAGTGCCTTAAATGTTAACATTTGTTTTAATTCACTGGGGTTTCATTCACTGGAGTCTCAAGTTGAAGATTGATAGGGAAAGGGTCTCTCTCGCCTAAAAGTTTACCTTTGAGAATGTGTTTTTTCTCTCTCTGTTGATTTAAATTCACAGCCAGTGATCCCCTCTAGGCTGTGATTATATATAAGCTATAAGAGCTTAATACTCAAGTTGAGACCCCTTGCAGCTTAATAAAGCCAAGTTTGGTTTTATAAACTACCTTAGAGCCTTAATTCAAAGTACAGTTTTGCTCTAGTGTAGCTATAATTTTTTAAGGCATTGTATTAAAATGGACAATTATTGATATCCCAATAATTCTTACATTATAGGAGGTTCTGCACTGTGTTTGGTTAGCAGCCAGTTTTATTGTCTTGTATCAACACAAATCTGGGATAATCTTGTCAAATATGAATTTTTTTCTTGTAATTAGTTTTATATTATCATTTTACCTCATTTGCATGCATGGGGATTCAAGTGACCACTTTTGCGGCAAATTAAATGCCCTGTCATCACGCTGAGCC